AGACCGCGCCCTGCCCTGACCCCTGGCCCTCGGCAGACGGCGACAGGCTCGCGCTGGCTGCACCGCGGGGAGGCAGAGGGGAGAGTGTCGCGCTCCCCTCGGCCCCAGCAGCACTCCTCTGTCACCTGCAGCCTGCCTGCTGTTCCCACCTCTGCCCCATCCACGCACTGGTGTTGGGGCGCAGGCACCAGCCTGGCATTTTGGAGAGGGAGGTGCGAGTTACGAGTGGAGCACAGATGAGGTCTCCAGCTGCGTGCAGGGGTTGCTGCGGGCGCTGTCCTCCCTGCCTGCAGAGCTGGGGAGGGCCCCGCACCTTGGGCCCCACCAAAGGGCCATGACTGCAAATTAAGCCATGCGTTACCCAGAGTGCGTGGTATCTGCTGGAGCTGCCTGCATGCGGGCTGCTGCTTGGCTCCTCTGAGCTAGCCTTTGGCAAGAGGCAGGGCAGGGCCATTGCGAGTCTCAGCACAGAGTTAGATTTGGGCTTGGTGAGAAAGTACTGAAGGAATCCTGTATCCCCAGTGAGCTCCAGGTGAAACCAGGACTGCTGCTGGAACATGCTGAGAAACTGCAGCCTGGAAGCCCAAAGCACTGGGCCTTCATCTCAGTCCGGGGCAGTGCCCAGGCAAGGCTGGAGGTCAGAGAGCAAGAAGGCCATGCAGGGACAGCGCTTAAACCCGGGCCCCCTGCTTAGCCTCAGCTGACTTGTAGGACTAGGGTGAGAGAAAGAGAGGGAAAAACCTTCTTGTGCTAGTATTTTGGTTTATAAATAAGTACTTATTAGGATGGCTTGGAAAAGGGGAGCGTGTGGCTCAGCTGCAGCCACGCAAGGCACAGAAGGTATCAAGTAGATTTAAATTACTTCCTACTGATAATATTTTATTGTTTTTGCAAAAAATACTACCCAGATAGCAGTTATTTTGAGTTGCTTTTAAAAAATGTTTTATTGTCCACTATGTGTAATATGCCAGTAACCACTGCACATAAAGGAAGCATTCAGAATATTATATATATGAATAATAAATACTCTAGATTGATGAGACTTTTGCTTATGTTACTGGTAAATACACCTGATTTCTGAAAATGAAAATGCTATGGTGATTGAGGGATTAGTATACTAATTCTATTCCAATAAGTAAAAAGACAATTTTTCTTACTTATATTAAGAATTAAATAATTTACATACAGTACACATCTCCGTATGTATTATATTCTAATAAGTGAAAGGGATCAGGTTAATACCGAATATGCAAGTTTCAGTCATTGTTCATGTTCCCATGAAAACAGATCTCTCTAAAAAGCAAACGCTAAACAGAATATACCTATAGTTAGAGGATTTTCATTTCAAGGTTCTGCAAACTGTACAGTTCAAGATAAACGCATTGAGCTGAATATCTTAGCTAAGCTCAGATAAACATCTTGAATGCCTTTTCACAATTACAGAGCAAAGGCATTTGAATAACATACTGCGTTATCAGTAGCTACAACGAGTAATTCCAATTTGCACTATATAATCTCATTGTGAGGGTTTTCCCAGGTCAAAGCTCTTTCTACTTCTCCACCTTAGCAATTTGATGAAGTTAAGACTTGCACTGAAGATTTTGTCATGATGAAAAACCATTTTGTAAAATATGTCAATGGGCAGATCTCCATTTGGATCTGCGTATTTCAGAGTTGTCATCGGAGTATACAAGGTGTTGGTCTGATGGCGAAAAGGTGGATTTTCTGCAAGAATTATCTTTACTGTATGCTGTCAATAATGAGAAACAGAATTGTTAATGAACCTTTACCAAAATAATAAAGTAAAACCTAGTTTTTAGTTAAGCAGAGATAAAGTGGAAGAATAAAGTGCTAGAATTATCTAAGACCTTAAATGTAGTTTTATTAGAATTTCATTAGAAATTTTTCTTAAAATATTTTTAAGGCCACAAGAAGTAGTTGTTTATTCTTTGACCTATTTCTGTTTATCTATACCATGGTGATAGCATCTTACACTTAAATATCCTGAATAGTCCTCCAAAATTATGCCTATATGCCCATAATGGGTAGATCCTTTCTTTTACAGTTCACTGGGAAAGGACCAGAACAGTGCATTTTGCAGCAGGATCTGGGAACCTTCAGCTGACACTGAAGTTACTAGCAGTAAGCACCTAAAATTATTGTCCCCTTCCACAGCTTGCCTAAACTTCTGTTCCTGCAGGAAGTCCCAAGCACCAGAAACTACATCCACATATCTTCCATTGTGCCTTGATGCTCTGGGGTAGCTGAGTGAACTTCACGCTACCGGAGGGGTTACCAGTGAGATGGAGGGGAGAGCAGCTTTAACCCATGGTGGGAGCCTGTGTAGAAGTATGGTGACACTGCAGAATGTTCACACTTCACCAGACAAAATATAAGTAACATTCCTTTATATATATAAATATATATATTAATAAAATATAACATTCCTTTAAGATTCTAAAGGTTTTTGTTTAAAACTCTCAAGATGCTGTTGATCTTTTAAAAATATTTTTTAAATCTTCAAATTAAATTCAGTTTAGAATTTAATGCTTCTACCAAAAAACCCACCAACCAACAAGTGCATTTGTAAATTACAAGGGGGGGGGAGAAAAACTGAAAAAACCCCTGAAAATGGAGGATTGTTGATGAGTTACCTCTGCAACATCTTCAGCACTTTGTCCCAGGCTCTGGAAAATTTGTTTGTAATTTTTAAGGTAAATATTAGTAAACATCTCAGCTGTTTCCTCATCTGCAGCTGAAAGATCCATTTTCATTCCATCTTCAAACACTTTTCTTTCAAACTCTGTAACCACTGGGCCTGGTTCAATTAAACTCAACCTGTTCAAAAAGCGAAGAGATACTGGTTATTGACTGTCCTCCATGGGAAATACACCTCTCCGTCCTTCTCAGAAAAGGATGTTGAGGAGTTGCGCTGTGAGTACACATTAACCAGCAATACTAAACAGTACATTCTGTAAAGGCGATCCATAGCACGTTATTGCTCTCATGCTCCTACCCATCCGTGTGCAGTAGTGGGAATCTGCGTAGCTTGAATGTCAGGGAAGTGCGGTAACTTAGTTCATGGCAGAAGTGAGAGCAGTTGTTACCTGCTGTCTTGCAGCTGTGGAATCTCAGGATGATTTATCCACAAGAACTTATCAAATTTTAAGAAAAATAATTACAGGATGATAACAAAATTCATTAATTCTGGACAAAATCCTACAAAAATTTCTTTGCTATAGCTTTCCCATGATAATACTAGAAGTAGCTGAATGGGGGGGGGGGAAATTACCCAAATGTGGATTTTCTTTATCAAGCTGTCAGTGTTACACAGTTCAAAATCCCTCCACGATATTAGAATACAATGTAACAGAGATAATTTTGCTGCAGGTGGACAGATTTTGGCTGCTGCCAAATCTGGAAAAATTTATTTTGCTCAGTAGTATATTATAGCAAATAACTGAAATACAGTTACTGGTCAGTTCTTTACTAGTTCTTTCTCAGGCAGTAACTACTCCCAGCTGCTATGTTTATCAAAACACTCTTTGGGGTGGGACCTTTTCCGAGACTTGAGTTCTGATCAGGCTGTTCTTTAGAACTAAATCAAGCTATTGACCTTGACAGCAGAATTCCAGCTGCTGCTGGAATTAAAGCCTTTTCTCTTGCATCACTCTGGACCTTGAACTTTCCCATTCTAGTTATTTTTTTTTAACCTCCTTTTTGCTGTATCTTATTATGAATTCTGGTATATCCTGTGTATCATTGCAATGTATTTGTTTTAAATCCCTCCAAACTTTATGCAAAAAATCACAGTTTGGATGCCGCTTTGTCTCCAAAATCCCGTGACAGCTGTGTCTCTTCTCCCACAGCACAAGGGCTAAATGCTGAGGCATACAGAGGTGCAATGGATATTTAACAATTGTCGGACTTCATACAAAGAATAGTAGCAGAATTACACAAATGTGAATACACATGTGACAAATCAAACCCTGAAGTCCCATACACATCGAACAGGACCATTCTCCTAAATATTGTCTTAAACATTAATAGTATACCCCATTCTTCTCACTC